GATATCTAAAGTTACTACCCAGAGGCTACTCTGGTACAGTATTTATAAATCTCTAAACATTTAGGTATAATTGTCTTTCTGGGTTTTGGGAAGAAAGCCAAATAGCAGCTTTAGTTACAACTGAAGATAAATATTTTGTGTTGGGCCATGTTCATCTGGTGGATAAAATAACAAGTAAAATCCCCACAAAGTAGGACTCTAAGCAAAAAACAAGAAACATGAAAACCTAAATGGGAATAGTCAATAGATGATACTTGAAGAAGAAAGGATTGAAATGTCAACAAAATGAAGGAAAGGAAAATTACTTAAAGTCTCCCAACTTAACAGCCAAGGCAGAACCCATCACATATTCAGTCCTCCTCGGTGCTTTGGAAAAATGTTATGACTGAGGAGCACATGTTTTGGCTATGGATATAATATTCTCTGTCTGCTCTCCAAAATACTTCTTGATGAAATAAATCTCAATTTCTGTTTGAGAGAACAGAATAAGAAACAGAAAGGACAATAAAAACCAATCTCCAGTACCTGGGGGTGACCTTTTTCTCCAACACAAACACACACCTCTTTACAGATCTTTCTCAGTCAAGACCTTTAAGACGTAATCAAGATAAACACAGGTCTTCCTTGTCAAAAATAAGGTTGAGTTTATAAATAATTTTGTGGAGAATTGGACCAAGTTCCCACTTTACAGCATTTTGTACTTCAAAATCTGAGATATCTTAATGAAACAATAGTTTGCTGCAGCTTCAGTGGGATAACACTTCGGCCTTTCTGTCTTTGGAATATGGGTTCTAGGTCTCCCAAAGGCAATGAAATGCCTTGATGATTTCCAGAAGCTCATTTTCAGGAAATTAGAGTCTGCAGCCCTAACTTCTAGCAAGCCTACAGAGCTGCCCAGTCAGCTTTGAAACATCAATGCAGGCAGTCCTGAAAACACTTTCAACATGAGAACTTTGAACAGCACAGGCTTAATTTGAAATAACTTCTTGTTCTTTTTGACTAGAAGTACATTATGTAAAGAAGACCAGAAAATCCTTTCAGAACTGTTAGTAAGCTTTTCTTCCTAAGGAAGACAGCTTGTTTCCACACACAGTTCTGTGTAGCCATGCATTTGGTCCTATGTTGCCAGACAGCTGATGATGAACACAGATTTGACAACTCAAATAGTTTACTGCCATCCCCTCTGGATATGCTAGGTCATTTGTAGCTCTGGTCCAGATTATTTTTTTTCCCTGTGTCTTGGAACTTTGAGTTGGATTTTCCTTCTGCGGAAGGTCGAGGCAGAGCACTGTGCTTGGATGAGATGCAACTCTGGCAGGATCAGTTACGATCCACGATGAGCAAGCCAGAGGACAAAAATGTTGCTGCACTACTTATAGAATAATTGCTGTTAATTACTTACAGATAATTACTGTTAACCAGTTCAAAAACCTGGGGATATTTTAACACCATAATGGGGTTCTATCAAGTCTTTGTTTCTGTGTGAGAATGGTTGTGTGTTTTTTAAATCCATCTTGTACTAGTAATGAGAAAATCCTGTGTTGATACAAACCAGATAAATTCAGAGCTGATTTTTCAGCAGTTAACTTAATCCATTGGGAATTGCTAGCCCTATTGTTATAGAAATTTCCCTTTCAGCAAAGTATGCTGTCATGTGCCCACCCACCTGTTCCTTCTACAAGATCCTTCCTCTCAGATTGCACCTGGGTTCCTTTTCAAAGCTATGGCCTGACTGGAAAGGGCATGTTTGGATGGATACAGCAGGTTGGCAAGTGATGGATCTTTATATGCCTAGGACTGAGAGTGACTTTGGTGTTAAAGCAGGTGAGGAGGATGAAGCTCTAGAAAAAGGGAATGAAATCCCAAAATGTGTGGATTCTTTTCCTGCTACCAACTTAAAGCAAAGGAATTCCAGTTATAGCCCTGTACTTCAAAACTTGCCAATGATTATGGCTTATCTGGTCGTTAAATAAATGTGCATCCTGGTTTTATGGCACCTTTCTTGTACTGGTGTCATCTTTTGCCTAAAGCTGAAATGAAACAATCACAGATACAAATTAGAAAGATCCTTGTATATTCAATAACTTATCAATTAAATGACTGTATTTTTTCAGAAATGTAAAGATTAATTATTTATCAGGTTTTTATATGAGATTGCACCACTTAGTGACTACATAACTATACATATATAATACTATTTATCTGCTCAGAATAGCAAGGGTAAGGTCATACTGCTAAATCCCTCACCAAAAATCTTGCAGCTTAGCCCATACTTTTCTTAGACTGCTTACATATTTTTATTTCTTCTCTTTTCAACACCCTGTCACAGGTCAACTGACCTTCTGCCACACCTTCATATTTTCTAATGTCAATGTTTCTGATGATCAGTAACAGAAGTAAATTAAAAGAATAAAACAGAAGATCCAAGCATGATGTTAATGAGGATGTCTTAATTCAAAATCATGCATTAAGGTCTAGAAAAGCTCAGACTAGCAATACTGCAAGTTTGTACTAGCCAATGTGTTAAGTATGTCAAGCAATACACAAATGCAAAATGACAATTTGCTCTATAAATAAAGATACTTAATTGCCAGTAAGAATCTGTGAGTTTGTTCTAATCTGTTTTTGACCAGCAAAAGTTGAATCACCTACTTTATGTAATTGTCATGATAGTTGTGTCCACCATATGTTAAAGCTGCATTTCACAGACAAAAATGTCACATTTCATATAATTTCCAGTAAAGTTTGTGCTATCTACTGATCTAACTGCTTCTGACAGTCTAATAATTTTATTCAAGGTCTTTCATGAAAATTTACGGCATTGAAAGGAACAGAACCAATTAAGGAGTTGTTGATTTCAAAAACAGAGAATTTATTGTGAAGATAATCATCTTCTGAAGCAACTAGGCTTGCAAGAACCCCTCCTTATTCAGTGCTCCCAATTAAAATAGGCTGCTGGTTAACTGCCTTATGTTATGCCCTATTTCCCCAGAACAGCTATGGAAAGAGTCACCTTTTATTTTTTAACATGCAGTCCGGTATTTACCTGAAGAAATGTCAAAAATGTCTAAGAATGTGTCACCTATTGCTCCTCTGCTGCTCTGCATCAGCAACATTTAAAAGGGCTAAAGGGATTTGGACTACGGCCAGTGTACATTGCCTGACCTACAGGGGCTATTGCTGTAGCAGAGACCTGGGTATTAGAGAGTCACAGAACAATTCAGTCTGTAAAGGACATTGGAGGGTCTCTGGTCTAATTTCCTGCCCTAAGCAGGGTCAACTATAAGGTCAGATCAGCTCCTTTGAGCTTTATGCAGTCAGGTCCTGAATACCTCCAAGGATGGAGAGGAAAAAATGACAGGTGCTCATGTGGTGGATATTGACAGGTTTCTCTATCCTCACCGAGGAGAGGTCTGACCCTGTGTACTCCCAGAGGTAAAATACAACAGTTCAACTGCTGGAAATGTCTCTAACTTCTGAGCAAAGACAGAAAATTCTCTCCGACTGTTTGTGCTCAAGAAGAGATTTTTGATTATTTTAATTATGTGTGATAGGAGACTCAGAGAGATTTATCAAAGAATAGCCATTAGCCTGGTAGTGGAAGTACAGATTTAGTTCTGAGATACAGAATTTCAGATCCCAGGGCTAAAGCAGCAAAACAAGGAACCTCTATGCCTGTCTTCCACTTCTGCAATGAGTTTCCTAATCATGACTACAAGCTGTCAGAGTGTGAGCAAGCTGGCCTCACAAATTTGCGAGGAAAGAACTCTAAAATATTTAGGGTTGTGTTATTTCAAGACCACAGATTTGAAACTTTCAACACTCATGGGATTGAAAACAATCCGTTTCTTTCTTTTCTTCTCTAAATCTACTTCTTATCCAGAAAACTGTCCAATTTGACATTGAAAAGTTCAAGCTTTTAGCTTCCTGGTACAATTTAATTCCAGTATTAAATTCCACTATTTTATTGCTGATTCTAAGAAAGAATTTTCTATGTTCAAGTTTCTATATTCAAGAAGTTACACTGCAACCTCTGATTTTTGGCATATAATTCCTATTTCCTGATTAGAGTGCAAAGAGGAAAATCTGAACTTAATCTTAGTTCTCACAGTCCTTGAGGGAAAACTATCTCTAGATCAAGCTCATGGGGAATCTGCAGACCAAAGCACAATCCTTTCCACCTACATTTACAGCAGAACTAGATCCAGAGGGAATATTTACTGCTGCACTTAATAGGTTTATCAAAGGTAGGACTTCAGCTGCATGAACTGCAAGACCCTTCAGGGATGGGAAGATGATTGCTTTTACACTGATGGTCTTTGCCAGGGTGCTTATGACTGCTTTGCAGCTGCTTTGCACAGGCACAGATGGTGTAAAATAGCCTTTGGCAACATATGAATCAGTCCCCCACTCTCAGGAAAGATTGAAAGATTTTGTTCAACATTCTTAAATGGGATGAGTACATGTTAAACCATGGGAAGAAATCAGCTTTGAGTTAATTCTCTGTGGCTTCCTGACCAAGGATGTGCCAAAGCTGTAAAGAAAATTAAAAGTTCTTTTTATTTTACTTTTTGGCTTGTGTTTTTAAAACTTGTATTTTCTCTGTAGTTTCAATGTGTTTTACATTATAAGAAATTTTTTTAGATAGAATTCAGGTATTCCAAAGAATACCTGAAGTTATCACTGGTTATATAACACAACTTACCCTGTGAAAGAAGCCACAGTGAGAAAACGACGTTTTTATACATTATCTAGGAAAATTTTAAAATGAGGAAAAATGCCAGTTTCATGTTCATTCATTTTTCCTCTGAAAGATGTGCTCTGTGATGTAGCAGAGAAACTACGTGACTGTCCCTTTAAAAGCCATCATACCAATCAGCAGGTTTAACTGTCAAGCAAGCTGATGTAGGGCTCTTTGAATTACTGAGTGAGGGATATTCTTCCTGCCAGGTCCTGTCCCCTGTAGGCACTGCAGAGAAGTATTATAGGGCAGTCCTTACCTTGGGAATTAGCCTGCAAGACCCCAATGCTGTCATCAAACTGCATAGATTTGATGTTGAGTGACGCCAAGATGCATTCCTTGTCCTGCAGCGAAGCATCATCAATATTATTCTGATTGGCTGACAGGATAACGCACATGTCGCAGAGGTTGATGTTGACAGCCCTTAAATCAGCCCGACTTAATGGCGTACCCTTCGGCACAGGGAGGAAAAAAGGGGGGTGCAGAAGAGGGAAAAAAAGAAAAACAAATTAAAGATTGAGAAGGAGCTTTGGGAAATTATTTAACAAGTATCTTTTTTATGCTCTGACATTAAGCTGGTCTAACTATGTGCCAGGGAATAGGAGATGTGTGCTAATCTAAAGGGTAGTTGGTGCTGATGGCAGCATTTTAGGTTCAGTCTCAATACTCAGTCAAGCTATTACTAACAAACAAGAAACAGGAATAATGCCAGCATTCTACATCTCATCGGTGACTTGAAATTGTCTTGATTTAAGCTGCTATCATGTGGCAACCTCTGGCTCTCTGAATATAACAAGGGGGGTGGTTTAAATGTCTATTTATCTACTACCAAGTCACAATGGTCTTGGGCAAAAGAACAGCAATTTAAACAGGAAAGCATTACGTGTCCTGCGCATTTGAAATGTAATCAGGACAAAGCTATTTTTTTCTACCTAAAGCAATACACAGAAAAGGTTAATCCTTTTCGAAGCACACTTTTGGTGCTTCTAGAAGGAAAACACACTGAGCTTCAAAGCTGTGTGATTAAACCCTTTGAAACAGAAACAAGACTTTATCCTAATGGGCACAGCTTGTGCAATGTTCCCTGTTCCACAATCCTCAATCAGAGAATGGAATCATTAAAACTAAATGCTGTGGTAGCCTGTGGATTTTTTTTCATAGTTAACAAAGCTGAGATATGACACTTAACATGATATTTTTTGTTTTTAAAATTACACTTGCCTTTCGCATTCAACAGTCCACAACTATAGTTACAGAATATTAAGTCTAAGTCACAGAGGCTGCAAGGTCCAGGAAATACTCTATGTTTTTTTAATGGAAACTAGATTCTACTCTGCTGCCTCACATGGCTTGGTACCCAAGGACCCCAATGATGAGGAGACATCATTCCCAGTGTCATGCAGTGACTTCCATAAAATCAAGGCAAGACCCCAGTCTTCCGTCTCCCCAGCATTCAAGGTATCTCTTGATCACCACTGAGAGTAGTCAATGTAAAAGTGAATTTAAAATGCACACAGTGAATAAAGAGCTCAATTCTTATTCAGTGTTTGCCAGATTAATTATTCCGTGTAATTTTCAATAATTTGAGGCTTGAAACCTTGTGAAAAACAGTATGTATCAAACAGATATGATTTCATTATAAACTGCTCCAAAGTTAGAATATGATTATTCCAGCCACCTTAATCCTGCCCTATGTGCCTGTACTGTGCACCAAGTTAATCAGGGTTCCTGTGGGGAAAAATAATATGCAACCATGTAATTAATTAAAGACTCAGTCCTAATGATTTTATGCAAAGGGACAGAATTAAGGCTGCCTGAGGATATTTAAAATTGGCATTTGCCTACTTTTTAAGAGTTTACTCAGCAGCTTAAAGGCGTCTTTTAATACAGACATTACATTCCACTTTAAAAAAAAAAAAAAAAGCAGAACAAATGTGTTCATATTCAGCTGTAACCACATATGAATCAGATATTAGCAGCAAGTTTTACCTTGTGAACCAAAATACAGAGAATTATGAAGATAGCCTCCCTTCAACAGGTTCCTACAAGTATAATCTCAGACACTTAAGTACAGTTTTAAATTACTATCATTAGAACAGAAATTTGCTGCTATTTTAACTTTTTATCACCATTTTGAATGAGATAGACTGGGGGAAAAGAAAGAGAAGCAACAGGAATCAAGTCTGTGTGGTCTTCAGCACACTTGATTACTATGTTAGATACAATTCCTTTATAAAATTCTGTATTTTTAAAGCTGCATCAACTAACTATTTAAGTTGTTGAAATCAAAATTAATCTAAAGCTATTCTGAATTTTGGTGTAAACTGGGGAAAGTAAAGCTGGTGTACATTTCTTTCATGCCTCTTCAGAATTCAGAATCAAAACTTTGCAAAAATACATTCTAATAATGGATATACTGGAAACAGTGGCAGGATTCTATTCTGCTTGATAGTTCAACAGTATTATTAATTTAATTCTGATTCTCTACTGTTTAGCCTTCACAGTGACTGGAATGAAAAGGAATTGGCAGAAAGAGGAGAATATTAACTGACCAAATCTGATATTGACACCATTTTTGTGACAGCAGAGAATCTTGTGACACCATCTGTTGGACCAGGTTACAGAAAAATGCCAAGGGCTAACACTAAAACTGCATTTACAGTAACAAAGACCTACAGTCTGAATTAATCAAAAAGCAAAGACAGTCCTATCATTCTATAGCTATTTTCCCAATTATTCAGCTAAGGTTACATCCTTCATTGATTTAATAATTTTTAACTGTTGAAATGAAATTACTGAGAACTAGCAAACTTATAATTTTTCATTCTTAAAAAAAATCTAAGCTAACTTTACTATATAACATGCTGAGAATTTTCTTTCACTTTTACCATGGGCTCCCATGTGTCTTTTATAGCTATGGTCACCTAAGATCACCAGCTTGGAGGACTTAATTTGTTAGTCCTGGAGCTCTTGATTCTACATTTTGATGTATAGGAGATACATAATTATATATAGGAGAAAAAGGACCTTTGCAGTTTTAGCGGCTGTGCCTACCATGATCAATAGGAGCTTTTCATTGATTTAAAAAGGGCCAGGGCTTTGCTGTACTTTCATACAAGACTCTGAACTGAAATTCCAGGACAGTGTTCCTTACAAAGCAGGTCAGGCCACAGGAAGTCTTTATGAATACATATAAATATTACGTAGACAGAGTAACAATAATTTCTTCAAAGGTTTTGAGGGTATAAAACCATAAATAATATCATAAATAACTACTGTCATGCTGTCAGAGAAATCACAACATCAGAACCAGCTCCATGCAGGGCACTACAGTGAATGGTCAATACATAACACAGCTAAAACATCTGATAGCAGCTGAAATTCATCCGATGAGGATGATGAGGAACCAAACACTGCAGCAAATATCTTCTAATAAGGTCTCACAGGGCTCTGTTTTCATAGACACAGTAAAGGGAAAATCTAAGTCCTCAGGCCTATGAGTAGACAAAAATAAAAAAGCCTAAGATCAAAGTCAATACGAATCTGTCCAGCTGGTGTGCTAAATAACAAAGTATCAATAATATGGCTTTTGAACTTACAGGCAAGATTGAAACCTTGGGGAAGTTATGCAGTGTCTCCCATTCCCTTCTCAGGTATTCAAGTGAACCCACAAATACAATGTGCTTGAGTTCATGGTAGTGAAAGTTGCTGGCTCGTAATGGCATCACTAAATTTCTTAATCCAATCAAAGCAGATTTAACATCCCCAAATATGCAAACGACTACATGCCCACTTAAAACTGTCATCGCTGCTTCACTTCGAGTCTAAAAAAAAAAACAAAACAAACAAAACAAAACAAAATGACAAGGGAAAAATGAAACAAAGGGAATCTTAAATCATATATTGAGTTTAAAACCAGGAAAAATACAACTGTCAATATTGTTCATACACAAAGAAGCAGTTTGATAACAGCTATTCATTTTACACTTATGTATTTTTCATTAAATGTGCCCAACAGGAAAAAAAAATTGTTCTTGTTTGCAAATCCTTCAGCATTTGGGAAGACATATTGGACCAAATTTTGGCCCTGTGCAAGTTTCTATACAGGTGGATTGTGACTCTGAGTACAAAGTACTGTGGGTTTAGCTAAGCATTACAGAAAATAGATGCAAAATTCTTTCCTCGTTGACAAATCACTAGATGGGTTTTTTCAACACCTATTTGAAAAGGAAGATGTTGTGTGTCCAGTGTTCCTAGTAGGGTTTTGTGATATTATTCAGATCATAATCTCTTAGAGCCAAAGCTCTTATTTAAGGACAAGCTGCTCTTTCCGTGAGAAGTAATCCATTAATGCCCTATACTGCTCTGCTTTACAGTGAATGCCCACAATATGCCACAGAGCTTCTCTCAGTGACAAAATAAAAGTGCAAGTTTGTGACTAATACTAAATTTTCAGGCCAATTGGACTTATTGAGGAAAAGGTCTCATGGAGAATATTTAAACATTGTCCAGAATTACCTTGTCTCAGTGAAAGAATTAAGTTTTGCACTAATTTCAGCATTGTTTAGTTCAGTTGAGCAGGCAACTCAAACACCAAGATGATTAAATAAAGTGACATGGAAAAAATTACCTTAAATTCTGGAGCTAGTCTTGGCATTGTAGTGCTCTGTAAAATAGCTGGAGAACCACTGATACCATATTGCCAAGAAATTGTACACTCTCTACCATTACACAGTAGTTTTGCCAATGAACAAAACTAAACCTGTGCAGATATGTAAAACTTTCCTCTCATTTCTCCACAGTATATGTCATTTTTCTAAATTACAGAAGCATGGTGGTGTGCAATTGGAATATGCAGCAGATATGCTCATTATGTCAGAAGAATTGGAACTCTGATTAGAAGTTTTCTCATCAGTTAAAAAATGCATGAGCTTTCAACTTCTCCAGGGCAATTACACTGATTTTCATACAGCTTGACCAAGAGAGTTGTCTTGGCCCTTCAAACAGCAGAAGACAGGAGTGAATCCTCAACTGAAGCATCTAAGTTGTCCCATGACTCTGCCCATGTATCTAGAATACTCAGACTTTACAAGACAGAGACCAAGTCTTGAAAGCAGGTAAGTAAAAATGTCACTCCATAAATCTGTATGCAGCCATGTATGGCAAAAATCTCTTCTTACTACCTGATACTGCTGGAATGTCACAGAGCCAAAAGAGACCTTGGGCAGAAAATTTAATTCTTTTCTGACTGGGACATCATCAAGTATCAATTAGAAAACAACCTGGGAAATCTCATCATCTTCAAATTATGCACTGATTTGTACTTGTGTGGTCTCTAAGGACAGCATTAAATTTGCATAGATATGAATGTAGACATAAATTGTGGACTGTGAGTTTGAAAAGGTGTAGGGAAGCATTTTGCTGGCAGTGTCTGTATTGGTGATGATGCGTGAAGCAGAAAGAACCTGGGCAGACTTGCAGATTCACAGGCTGGTAGTGGAAAAAACTAACACGGCATAACCTAGAGATGATGACTGAGTCACTCCCCAGCACCATTTGTGGGGGAACACTTTTCAAAGGAGGGCAACATGTAGTTTGTCAGCTAAAATGTGCTTGTACCACAAAGGAGGATTTTTATCTCTATTATAAAGTGCTGTACAGCAGGGGTACCCCTTATTGCTTGCTGATTACAAATAAATGATACGATTTAAAGCTGTTCAGGCAAACTCCATCTCAAAGCTCCATCTCAAAAATTTGGAATTCACTTGCTTGACTATTTAAACACTGATATTGCAATTCCAGGCAATGTCAGAGTTATTACAGAAACCCCTGAGGAGAACTGGAGACAAGCTTTTAACCCCTGATTGCTAGAATAAGTGGGCCTGTCACCATCGTTGGCTACACCATGCCACAGTGCAGGAAAATCTAAGAGAGCAGGCTCGGGAAAAGCTTTATGAAGTGCGACAAAGTGAAGATCCACCAGGGAGTTCATTTCAAATATAATCAGTTTTGCATGTGAGATCTGGGGTTAGTTACTTGCTACTCTTAGGTATAAGTACATGAACACAAGTGGCATAAACTTCCAAAAGAGACTGTGATAGGCCTCCTAATTATTTTTAATTACTTGAGTCAGTTTGATGGTTTTCCCAGTTAAAGAAATGAAACAAACATAGACAGGGCTCACTGCAACATGCTAGAGTCAGAGTAGGAGCATTACTTGCTCTGGCCTATTTGGGCATCTTGAAATATTGGGAAGTGAGAGACAAGGTCTAAGAGAGAAAAAATAATAAAAAAATCAATTAACAATAATTAATAAAACATCAATAAATAAGAGGTAAGTCAAAACAACACTTGTCTGTGTTGGAATCATTAACTGCCTTGTGTAAAGAGAAAAGTGGGACATGTAAGCATTCAAGTATTTCTAATCTTAATTCTCTATAAAGATTTAAACCAAACATGTAAATTTCAATTTATGAAAAAGAAATTCCCTACACTGGATGAATTTTTATTGTTGCATTGGGCATAAAGATTTATGTAATCAAAATGCTTTAACCAAAATCCTAGCTTCGGTTTCATCACTCTTGCTCCTGATTTCAACACACTGGATTTTGTGACAGTAGGGACTAACTTATTTATCCATTAGACATCAGTTCTATGGTTTAAATAACCTCTTTTCAAACATGACTTATCATCAATACCTACCAAAATAACCTTTTCAATGTCTTTGGCTGGACACCAATGAAACATCCCTGTAGAGTCGTATTTTTTCACGTTGGCATCCATATTGTCAATCTGCTCGTTGCCAGGAATTAACAAGGGGTCATGCCTGGGGAAAAACAAGTTGAGGACAGCATAAATGGAAAATACTATGAATTATGGATGGAAAGATATCCCAAGAGCTGTGTACAAAGAGGGACAAAAGTAAAAAAAATTAAATGTATTTGCACTTTAACATGCTTTCCATAAGGACATTTTTAAACAAAAGCTGCCTACCAAAAAAAAAAAAAATTAAATGTTGGGTGCAGTTTCAATGACTTTCTATCCTCTTCTATGCCAATAACAATTTAATTTTAAATAGGATTTTCTGACACCATCACATCTGTACAAGTTTTTTTCTTTCCAGTCCCACCCCTCTGAAACAAATATCAAAGTTCCTATAGGCATCTGCAATGAAGTAGAAGGGATAGGAGCAGAGCCCCATGCTGACTGACTGGCATAAGTATGGAAAGCCAATTACTTGCTTTTACCACATACAACTTCTGACGTGATGCTCTTCACAGTAAAAGCTTTAACAGGCTGCACTTTAAATATTTTAGCAATTTGCCCAATCATATTTTGCTTTCCCAAACTGAAGCCCTTTAAAGATTCAACAGTATGTCATTTTAGAGCAGACTGACTAACAAATGCCCACATCTGGAATACATGATTTTAATACCAAACAACAATGTCCATTTTCTCTGACAACTCTACCTGTGATAACCTTCTAAGTGTTTCTGCTGCAACATTTTAAAGCACATTTTTAAGGCTTCTCAAAGGAGAAGCAAATAAAAGATATTTTTATGAACTTGCTCTCCAGCTATATCGTTACATCTAAGCACAGACACAGAGTTCTTTAATTTATATGATAAAATCAAACACTAAACTAAGTGCTAAGTGACTCCAACACTCTCACATGCTGGTGAAGTGACTACATTATGCAATAGCATTAGAGAATCATATTCACAAGGTACAGGGTAAAGTGACCCTAAAATCTTCTATTTAGCATGATTTACTAATGCTTTGTCTAGAAAGCTACAGTCTTTACCTCAGGTTTTTATTATGAATGCTTGAAATATCTTCATATAAAATTGTAACATTTCAAAAAAGAGTGTATTTGCAATGTAAGAATGGTAAGTGCTCTGAGACAGGTAACCAAATTTTAAAGCAGTTTGCCCTTTGAAGCATGTTAAAGAAATGCCCCTATTGTCTGAGTTCTTAAACCAGGAAAGTTTCCTGCTTTTAAAGCAATTGAACCACTAGGCTGTGGTGAGATCCTCTCTTCTGCATGGACTGCTAAAGCAGACTGTGAACATAGAGTGTGATATAGGCCAATTTACCTTGAACATGGTATGCTAAGTTACCATGAAACCAACACTTGTGTTCCTATGAGAAGTATCATCTCAAATTCAGTCAGGGTGATCAATTAGTGTGATTTCATAGCCACTGATTACAGATCCATTGAAAATGGAAAATTCTCATGCATTTCACTCAAACAGGGTCAACTCCAAAGACAGTGGCTCAAAAAAAGTTGAGAAATTATTAATACAATGTTCTATTTAAACCAGAATCTTCTGATAATTTAAGACAATCAATGCTTTACATGGCAAAGACATAAATCAGACTCATCCAGAAAAAAGAACCACTATGTTTTCAAAGTTTTTAAATTCTCTCAATAGAGATACAGTTCAGTGATTTCACTGTAACCCACTGGCAGCAGGGAAGCCCTAGTGGACTACCTGGAATCTCTGATCCTACTCCAAGCTGAATAATGACAGGCTTTCCATAAGCATGTTCCCTCTTTCATAGGAAGCAGAGATGAAAACGCTGTATCAAAGGGGTTTGTTCTGGTGGCTTGGTTGTTGTCTTGTTGGCTTTTTTAAAATTGCTAGAAAAATATATAGACTCTGCATTCTGTTCCACCCATGAGCATGATGCAGCCACAGTACTTTGTCTGAGAGCTGAGATGCCATTCTGGGCATTCCCCATCTGCTCAGAGTTGGAGGTGGCACAAAAAGATCTGCAGCCATGAACATGTTTCAGTTTGAAGGTTGTGCTAATGTTCAGACAATGTTTAGTGATGATCTGTCCCAGCTATTTTTCCTAATGGAATGTGTTAACTATATGTTTGACAATAAGAAAATTTGCCAAAAGATTAGGAATCTTCAGGAGTTTCCACTGAGGAATGTTTTTCTTTCTGTTGTTTCAGGGTTAGGTTTTTTTCCCTCAGTACTTCACCAAAACATTTCTTCACGAGTTTTTTCTAGAGGAGCACTGAAAAGTTCACTTTTCAAAAGCAAAGTCCACCAGTCAAATCCCCTTCTTTTACTTTCAGAAATCAAGCACAAGAAGGAGTTTTATTTTCCCCCTATCCTTCATCAGAGGAACTATACTAAATCAGTTTTTAAACAATGCCATATTCTAGTTTTGTAATTAATGTTTCCTTTCTGCTCTGAGATTTAAAATTAAATAGGTGATCTGAAGCTTTAGCACAATTGACTATTTAGCAATACCCAGACACAAAAATTATTCACAGAAATAATACAAATTGAAAGGAATGTTATAGCAAAGCAGGTGGTATCAGATATCTGACATCCAATTATGGTCAACTGCCTTGAGGTTTGAGGCAATTTTTAGAGTGTGAGTACTTAAAGCCTAGCACAGTTCTTTTGGGCTTTGCATCCTAACAGGGAACATTCAAAGTAGCTTCTTCCAAAGGCTTATTAGAAGATTTTAGGCTTAAACATAAGTTGGTTTGAGGGAATAAAAAAGTGTGTGAATCATTAGATATAGCCCTCTGTTGAAGTTTTAGGTAACAAATTGTGATTTTTTAAAAAAATGAACCATTTTGATTTTTTTTTTTAAATCAATACATGCATTTATTTGCAGTATCATAAACTATTTAGACTCTGCTTTATTGCTTGGAATATAGCAAGTGGGAACGTCAAAGGAAGCAAACAGGATTGGACACACAACATTAAAGCATGCTAAAAGATATTATTTTACTATTTTTACTCCAGGGTAATGGATTATTGCCTGAGAAGAACTCTGTGATATGACTAGCATCTGTGATATGACTATATCTGTTTCACAATATGTGGGGTTATTCATGTAAGTGTGTTTATTAAATTTAAATCTTCTGGGCTAAGATATTATTTTAATTTCTCTTTAATCAATGTTCTTTCATTCTCAGTAAAGTGATCCCTGAAGCTGTCTCTGGACCTTGGAAACTCTGTATTACTTAGGTCCAACTTTACCCTCAGATGTTACTGAGTGTATCAGATGATACATTGACTTATATATTTAAAAATTGAATTGATCAGAACAGTTATAAAATAGTATTATTACTTTTGACATATACACCTTCATTAATCTGATGATCCAAACCTGTTTTGCAAATACTAAAAATTAATTAAGATAGACACACAGAGAGGCCAAAGCTGTCAAATCTGCCTAAGGCATTTGGGCACCTTCTTCCCATTAAAAATTATATTACACAAAGCATTACAGTTGTTGCCCTTACAGCAAAATCATGGACTGAATGTTTCTAGAGCCTCTCTGCCTCCTCATCCTTGAAGATGGCCTTGTCAAACTGTGCTTGAGTCATATTGGCAGGTTACTGCAGAATGTTTATATTCACACTGCAGTCATTACGTTCTCCAGGGTGGCAAAGTCCTCTGATTCAAGAATTCAAATCATAGGAAGAAAAGCATTTTCTGTCAATTAAACCCCTAGTACTTGTTTTAATTGGGATGTTCATTTTTATGACTTGCAATGACCAAAGCATTTGGTCCTTCTGGCCAGGAAAAGACATGTATAGCCTGTATGGAAGGAATGGAACAAAAGTTAAATTTCCCTCATCCATATCCCCAGTTTAAAAATAGCTTCTCTGGTTCTTATGGCAGATATTACATACGCATGACTTAAAATGAAGAGCAAAATACCATCTTTGCAAGGTTTTGAAGAGCCTATAATGCCACTCATGTGCAATTAAACTTGAAAACGACACTAAATGCCAAGCTACAGCTGCAAACCCAAAAAGCCTGCCTGGAAGACAACAGCCTAAAGCAAAACCATAAATCCCACTTACAGCAAACCTACTGCAAGGAAGTCAACATTACACTTTAAACAGTACTGCATCCCTAGCACACATTTATAAGCACTGCAAAATCTGAGTTTTTGAGTTGGAAACTTTTAGGTACTCACTGGAGATGGACAGAACTGAAAAGACCATGTAGGACTAAAGGGCTTCCTCATTAAATGACTATTGTTAAACATACCCTTGTATTATGTCACCCTTGTCTTATACCATTATACACATGCAATTGAGAACTAGAGCAACATACATCCCTGATCTGCAGTGGAACTACTCTGTATGCTGAGCACTGGGAACAAGAATACTGTGTGACCAGCAAGGAGGACCCTGGGCTTGTATGCAAATAAACTGTAATCTCTTAGTCTTTACACAGTAAGAATATGTCTTGGCTAGTTTTTGTTCTGTCCTTCAATAAAATTATCTTTATATAAAGTCAACACAAAACACACCAGATGCAAACACTACTCCTCTTTAACCTGTGTCTGTTAGAGTTTGTAATTGTGCCTTTCTCAGGTAGACACATCTGGATTTTGTGCACAAAAAGATGCTCAGCAGTGTCCTGCACAAAATTCCGGGTCTTTAGAGACACCCTGCCCATGGTTCAGGAATTTTGAGTTTTTCTACCTGACTTAGGGGCTTGTGCACACAGATGCTTAAGTTTAGGAGGAAGGAGTGGGTTTGATGAAGGTAAGAGAAGAATTGAAGACACGCTAAAGAATGTCTCATGACTTCAAAATTTCTCCTACAACTACCCTAACAAATTGTGGCAATTAACATGCTGTTAGTGTTAGATGTGTGCAGCCAGTGCAGGTGCTAATAATTGAAAAAGCATTTAGAGCTTTTACACCCTGGCTGAATATTTCATGATGTGCTGCATGTTTCACTATTTACTCAGTGGGCCTCTGTCACTTCAATCTTCTCTGACTGCTTTGACTGGTGCTATAAAGCTCAACCAAGACAGAGTGACGGCTTGT